GGGTGGCACGGGCTGAAGAAGACACGGGGCTAACGGGTAAGTGGTGGGTGGATGGCACGGGCTGTAGAAGAGACGGGGCTGACGGGTGAGTGGGTGGCACGGGCTGGAGAAGAGACGGGGCTGATGGGTAAATGGGTGGGTGGCACGGGCTGGAGAAGAGACGGGCTGATGGGTGAGTGGGTGGGTGGCATGGGCTAGAGAAGAGATGGGCTGACGGGTGAGTGGGTGGCACGGGCTGGAGAAGAGACAGGCTGACGGGTGATTGGGTGGGTGACACGGGCTATGGAAGAGAAGGGGCTGACGGGTGAGTGGGTGGGTGGCACGGGCTGGAGAGATGGGCTGACGGGTCAGTGGGTGGCACGGGCTGAAGAAGACACGGGGCTAACGGGTAAGTGGTGGGTGGGTGGCACGGGCTGTAGAAGAGACGGGGCTGACGGGTGAGTGGGTGGCACGGGCTGGAGAAGAGACGGGGCTGACGGGTGATTGGGTGGGTGGCACGGGCTGGAAAAGAGACGGGCTGATGGGTGAGTGGTGGGTGGGTGGCTCGGGCTGGAGAAGAGACGGGGCTGACGGGTGAGTGGGTGGGTGGCACGGGCTGGAGAAGAGATGGGGCTGACAGGTGAGTGGGTGGGTGGCACGGGCTGAAGAAGAGACGGGGCTGACGGGTGAGTGGGTGGGTGGCACGGGCTGGAGAAGAGACGGGGCTGATGGGTGAGTGGGTGGGTGGCACGGGCTGGAGAAGAGACGGGGCTGACGGGTGAGTGGGTGGGTGGCACGGGCTGGAGAAGAGATGGGGCTGACGGGTGAGTGGGTGGATGGCACGGGCTGGAGAAGAGACGGGGCTGACGGGTAAGTGGTGGGTGGGTGGCACGGGCTGGAGAAGAGATGGGGCTGACGGATGAGTGGGTGGGTGGCACGGGTTGGAGAAGAGACGGGGCTGACGGGTGAGCGGGTGGGTGGCATGGGCTGGAGAAGAGACGGGGCTGACGGGTAAGTCGGTAGGTGGCACGGGCTGGAGAAGAGATGGGGCTGACGAGTAAGTGGTGGGTGGCACGGGCTGGAGAAGAGACGGGGCTGACGGGTGAGTGCGTGGGTGGCACGGGCTGGAGAAAAGACGGGCCTGACGGGTGAGTGGGTGGGTGGCACGGGCTGGAGAAGAGACGGGGCTGACGGGTGAGCGGGTGGGTGGCACGGGTTGGAGAAGAGAAGGGGTTGATGGGTGAGTGGTGGGTGGGTGGCACGGGCTGGAGAAGAGACGGGGCTGACGGGTGAGTGGGTGGGTGGCACGGGTTGGAGAAGAGATGGGGCTGACGGGTGAGCGGGTGGGTGGCATGGGCTGGAGAAGAGACGGGGCTGACGGGTGAGTCGGTAGGTGGCACGGGCTGGAGAAGAGACGGGGCTGACGGGTGAGTGCGTGGGTGGCACGGGCTGGAGAAAAGACGGGCCTGACGGGTGGGTGGGTGGCACGGGCTGGACAAGAGACGGGGCTGACGGGTGAGCGAGTGGGTGGCACGGGTTGGAGAAGAGAAGGGGCTGATGGGTGAGTGGTGGGTGGGTGGCACGGGCTGGAGAAGAGACGGGGCTGACGGGTGAGTGGGTGGGTGGCACGGGCTGGAGAAGAGACAAGCCTGACGGGTGAGTGGGTGGGTGGCACGGGCTGGAGAAGAGACGGGCCTGATGGGTGAGTGGGTGGGTGGCACGGGCTGGAGAAGAGACGGGGCTGACGGGTGAGCGGGTGGGTGGCACGGGCTGAAGAGAAGGAGCTGACGGGTGGCACGGGCTGGAGAAGAGACGTGCTGATGGGTGAGTGGGTGGGTGCCACGGGCTGGAGAAGAGACGGGCTGACGGGTGAGTGGGTGGGTGGCACGGGCTAGGGAGAAGAGACGGGGCTGACAGGTGAGTGGGTGGGTGGCACGGGCTGGAGAAGAGGCGGGGCTGACGGATGAGTGGGTGGGTGGCATGGGCTGTAGAAGAGACCTGGCTGACGGGTGAGTGGCACGGGCTGGAGAAGAGACGGGGCTGATGGGTGAGCGGGTGGGTGGCACGGGCTGGAGAAGAGATGGGCTGACGGGTGAGTGGTGGGTGGGTGGCACGGGCTGGAGAAGAGACGGGGCTGACGGGTGAGTGGTGGGTGGCACGGGCTGGAGAGATGGGCTGACGGGTCAGTGGGTGGCACGGGCTGGAGAAGAGATGGGGCTGACAGGTAAGTAGTGGGTGGGTGGCACGGGCTGGAGAAGAGATGGGGCTGACGGGTGAGTGGGTGGGTGGCATGGGCTGGAGAAGAGACGGGGCTGACGGGTGAGTGGGTGGGTGGCACGGGCTGGAGAAGAGACGGGGCTGACGGGTGAGTGGGTGGGTGGCACGGGCTGGAGAAGAGACGGGGATGACGGGTGAGTGGGTGGGTGGCACGGGCTGAAGAGACGGGGCTGACAGGTAAGTGGTGGGTGGGTGGCACGGGTGTTGGAGAAGAGACGGGGCTGACGGGTAAGTGGTGGGTGGGTGGCACGGGCTGGAGAAGAGACGGGGCTGATGGGTGAGTGGTGGGTGGGTGGCACGGGCTGGAGAAGAGACGGGGCTGACGGGTGAGTGGGTGGGTGGCACGGGCTGGAGAAGAGACGGGCCTGACGGGTGAGTGGGTGGGTGGCACGGGCTGGAGAAGAGACGGGGCTGACGGATGAGTGGGTGGGTGGCACGGGCTGGAGAAGAGACGGGGCTGACGGGTGAGTGGGTGGGTGGCACGGGCTGAAGAGACGGGGCTGACAGGTAAGTGGTGGGTGGGTGGCACGGGTGTTGGAGAAGAGACAGGGCTGACGGGTAAGTGGTGGGTGGCACGGGCTGGAGAAGAGATGGGGCTGACGGGTAAGTGGTGGGTGGGTGGCACGGGCTGGAGAAGAGATGGGGCTGACGGGTGAGTGGGTGGGTGGCACGGGCTGGAGAAGAGACGGGCCTGACGGGTGAGTGGGTGGGTGGCACGGGCTGTAGAAGAGACGGGGCTGACGGGTGGGTGGCACGGGCTGGAGAAGAGAAGGGTCTGATGGGTGAGTGGTGGGTGGCACGGGCTGGAGAAGAGACGGGGCTGACGGGTGAGTGGGTGGGTGGCACGGGCTGGAGAAGAGATGGGGCTGACGGGTGAGTGGGTGGCACGGGCTGGAGAAGAGACGGGCCTGACGGGTGAGTGAGTGGCACGGGCTGGAGAAGAGACGGGGCTGACGGGTGAGCGGGTGGGTGGGTGGCACGGGCTGGAGAAGAGACGGGGCTGACGGGTGAGTGGTGGGTGGGTGGCACGGGCTGTAGAAGATACGGGGCTGACAGGTGAGTGGTGGGTGGGTGGCACGGGCTGGAGAAGAGACGGCGCTGACGGGTGAGTGGGTGGGGTGCTTCTGGTAGTTACGAGATGGGAGGAGATTTTTCCGGGGCGAAGGTTCCGCCTGGAAGCTCCCAGAACAAAACAATCCGCACCAACGAAATAATCCCTCCCCCATCTCCGCCACAGTAATATTACAATAAAATAATTTCTTTCATTGACTTTAAAAACACACGTATTTTATGTAAAATGTGTGTGTTTTAAATAAAATCACCGTCACGATGTAATGGTTGGTCTAATTTTTAGTAACGTCGGTCGCTGTTTAAAAATTGTTTTGTCACGCACAAGGATCACGTGGGTGGCGGTGAAGCGGTCGCGGAAGGAGGGGGGGAGGCTACGTCATCGCCTTCGTCAGCTGTTGCTGGGGCGGAGTGATACACACAGACAAAGGGGCCCCGGGTAGCCTCTAGCAGGGCTGTAGGGGCAAGTGCTGTTATACGCACACAAGACAGACACACACACAGACACACACACAGAGACACACAAAGGAAGACACACAAAGACACACACATAACAACAACACACACAGACACACAAAGACACACACAAAGACACACGCAGAGACACACACACAGACACAGACACACAAAGACACGCAGAGACACAAAGACACACAGACACACACACAAAGACACACAGACACACAAAGACACACACACAACAACAACACACACAGACACACACAAAGACACGCAGAGACGCACAAAGACACACAGACACACACACAAAGACAGACACACACACAGAGACACACACAACAACAACACAGACACACACACAACAACAACAACAACACACACACAGACACACACAGACACACACAGACAGACACACACAGAGACACACACAACAACAACAACACAGACACACACAGACACACACACAGACACACACAGACACACACAGAGACACACACAGAGACACACAAAGACACACACAACAACAACACAGACACACAGAGACAGACACACGCAAAGACACACTCACAGACACACACACACAACAACACAGAGACACACACAGAGACACACACAGAGACACACAAAGACACACACAACAACAACAACACAGACACACAGAGACAGACACACGCAAAGACACACTCACAGACACACACACACAACAACACAGACACACACAAAGACACACACAGACACACACAACAACACAGACACACACAGACAGACACACAGACACACACAAAGACACACACACAGAGACACACACAACAACAACACAGACACACACAGACAGAGACACAGACACACACAAAGACACACACAGAGACACACACAACAACAACACAGACACACAGAGACAGATACACACACACAGACACACACAGATAGACACACACAGACAGACACACACAGACAGACACACACACAGAGACACACACACAACAATACAGACACACACAGACAGACACACAGACACACACAAAGACACACACACAGAGACACACACAACAACAACACACACACACAGACATACACACACACCTCCCTTACCGACTCCCCCACACCCCCTCTAACCCCTCCCCCCCCATACGGCGGAGTGATACATCGGCCACGCCCACACGGCCGAGTGATCGCGCGTCGTGCGCGAGGCGGGGCTAATGCGTGGACTATATAAAGGGGGCGAGTCGCCCAACCTCGTCAATTCACGCGCTACAGCCGTTAGAAACGATAGGTATCGTCGTCGTTTTTCCCGCGCTTTTCCTCGCGACAGCCAACGACTTTTTTTTCTTTCCGCCATCTTCTCTGCGTCTGAGGTAACGACGCCCGATGGTCTTCACCGGTTTTTTTATGTTTAAAATAAAAATAAATAAATGTTACGCCCACCGTACCTCGTTTTAAATATTTAACGAGGCCGTTAATATTATTGACGTTTGTTTGCGTGAGGTGTGTGAAAACGTGAACGTTTTGTGTGGTGTTTTTTTTAATCGCGAGTTAATTTTAACATTGATTACGCGAGGCGGCTTTGTGTGTTTGGCTCTTGACGTGGGGTGGTCAATGTTGATCTTTTATGGTTTTCGTGAGTTGGTTAACGTTATCGTTTTGCTGAGGTAGATGTTAACATTTAGTTCACGCCAGGCGTTATTAACGTTTTGCTGAGGTAAATGTTAACATTTAGTTTACGCCGGACGTTAATGTTAACGTTTTTCTAAGGAAAATGTTAACTTTTTGTGCACGCCGGGCATTAATGTTAACATTTTTCCGAGGTTAATGTTAACATTTGGTGCACGCCAGCCGTTAACGTTTTTCTGAGGTAAATGTTAACATTTTGTTCAAGCCAGGCGTTAACGTTTTGCTTAGTAAATGTTAACGTTTTGTTCACGCGAGGCGTTAACGTTTTGCTGAGGTAAATGTTAACATTTTGTTTACGCCAGGTGTTAATGTTAACGTTTTGCTTAGTAAATGTTAACATTTAGTTCACGCCAGCCGTTAACGTTTTTCTGAGGTAAATGTTAACATTTAGTTCACGCCAGCCGTTAACGTTTTTCTGAGGTAAATGTTAACATTTAGTTCACGCCAGCCGTTAACGTTTTTCTGAGGTAAATGTTAACATTTTGTTTACGCCAGGCGTTAATGTTATCGTTTTGCTGAGGTAAATGTTAACATTTTGTTCACGCCAGGCGTTAATGTTATCGTTTTGCTGAGGTAAATGTTAACATTTTGTTTACGCCATGTGTTAACGTTATCGTTTTGCTTAGTAAATGTTAACGTTTTGTGGTAAACATTGTGCAGACGATGCGATAGTGTGGTCTGGAACTCTGGGGTGGGTGGCCATCATTCGTGATGGTCAAAGATCGCTCCTGAACAACGGCTTACGTGGCTCGGGATGGAAAGGTTCTTAAACTGGTGTTTAAAAAATATATATATAATTCTTAGGTAAATGCAAGTAGTTGAGTACCTTTATATTCTTGGTTCTTTCGGTAAAGTCGCGTAGATGGAAAATAAAAAAAAATATTTTTTTAATTTGTATTTTTGTTTTATATTTGCGTCACTTCACCGAAAGAATTCCTGCGGTCGGGAAAAGTCCCAAAGTTTCGTACCCGCTACAAAGAGGAAAAAATGTTATTTGGAAGTAACCCGTGCCACCTCATCGCATTCCTCGCCACCAAAGTCATCCGTGCGCATGCGCGCCCCCAAGGCACCCTGGGTAGGGGTCAAGGTTCAGGGGGCTTAGGGGGGGTCAAGGTTCAGGTGTTCGTAACGGACCCCAACTTGGCGCTGTAACCTTTCACCCCCTTCCATTTAATTTTTTGGTCCCGTTGAACTTCTTTCGCACCGTACGCAGCCAGCCGCTGCCGATCCGGCGGCGCGGTGGTAGTGGTGATTTATTTTTTTGGTAACCGGTGGTGGCGTTGTGTCGGTGGTGACGTTGTTGGGGGTCTTTGTTGTGCCATCTGTTGTGTTTGTGGGTGGCAACCCCCCCCTCCCCGATTGGTTACCAACCTACAACACCCCCCCCGCCCCCCCACCCTGCTCACCCTGGTGACTCAACTCTCCCATCACAACATGTTTACTGAATTGGTGCTAAATATAATCCAACCTTTTTAAGCGTACGCACGCGCGGCTATTTTTACCGCCCTTTGATTCGCTCCGTATTATCCGAGGGGTTGTGTTTAGTAGCCCTCGACGACACTCGGCTGGTGCAGCCGCAGGCGGGTTGGTGGCGTTTGTAGGTATCCCCTGCCGCCTGCTAGAGACTCGACATGACCCGGGGCTGGGATTCCCGCTCGCACCCACCCCCAAACATCGGTGACGATTATCCGAACCGGTCCGTCGGCCTCACCCCCCCCCCCCCCCCCCCCCCCCTCGGTCCGACGGGGCCTCGTTTACGGGTGCCTGGTGCCGTTTTGCTTCGTAAACATCGCTAGCACTGGGGGTGGTGGTGGGCGGGTGACTCTTTAAGGTGGTTGGGTATTCGAGGGCGTTTCGATTGTTGATTTGCCACGGCCCCGCCGCCCGCTTGCTGTTGGGCCGAGTATTCTGCACGGGGCGGGCGCGCAGGAAAGCGTCCGTCGCTGAGCGCCGCCGGTCGGCCGGTGAGAGCGACCAAAAGGCCTTGGATTTTTGAAGCCTTTTGCGGCCGCAGGAACCCACGCTCTGGCACCTCCTCCGGCAAGGTCGCACGGCGGGCGAGAAGATGAACCCGGAGGTTCCGTGCGTGGCGGCCCAGGCGCGTGGGCGGTCCGCACGGAACGGCGCGATTCGACCTTGCCGGCAGAGGGCAAACGGTCTCCAATCTCTCGCGATGCGGTCGCCCCTGCCACAGCCTCGGGCAGAGCATCTCTCTCGCCCTCTTGCCACGAGGCTGCACCGACCTCGGGTTGAAATGAGACGCCGTTTTTTTCAGGAGCTTTGTCTCTCGCCGGAAGACGCCGTGATCTATTAATTTTCTACCCACGCTATGACCTTGCCGAAAGAATCTTGGGGGGGGGGGTGGGGGGGGGTGATGGATTTCTGAAGTCACGAAAGCTGCGAATCGAAAGAGCCGCAATCGGTCTTCCAGTGGTGGCTCATTTCGAAACGGGTACTTTTTTGAATGATCCGGTTTTGGGTTTGATTGTTCGCGGCCGCCCTCCGCTATTAATGCGGGTAATGAAATCTTACCCGTCTGTAGCTCGGTTGGTGCCCCTTACCTGGTACAATGACGGATTGTCTTTTTTGCCTTTATTATCTCGTCCGCACTGTTAGGCGATTGTTGCGCGGGGTTGTGCGATTTTTATTTTATTTTTCCCCAGAGATGGTTGCCGCAGGCGTTGATCCACAATTTTTTTTTATTTTTCCCGCCCCGTTTTAGGCGACATGCAGATCTTCGTGAAGACGCTGACGGGCAAGACCATCACCCTGGAGGTGGAGGCCTCCGACACCATTGAGAACGTCAAGGCCAAGATCCAGGACAAGGAGGGCATCCCTCCGGACCAGCAGCGGCTGATCTTCGCGGGCAAGCAGCTGGAAGATGGCCGGACCCTCGCCGACTACAACATCCAGAAGGAGTCGACTCTGCACCTGGTCCTGCGGCTGAGGGGAGGCATGCAGATCTTTGTCAAGACGCTGACGGGCAAGACCATCACCCTAGAGGTGGAGGCCTCCGACACCATTGAGAACGTGAAGGCCAAGATCCAGGACAAGGAGGGCATCCCTCCGGACCAGCAGCGGCTGATCTTTGCGGGCAAGCAGTTGGAAGATGGCCGGACCCTCGCCGACTACAACATCCAGAAGGAGTCGACTCTGCACCTGGTCCTGCGGCTGAGGGGAGGCATGCAGATCTTTGTCAAGACGCTGACGGGCAAGACCATCACCCTGGAGGTGGAGGCCTCCGACACCATTGAGAACGTCAAGGCCAAGATCCAGGACAAGGAGGGCATCCCTCCGGACCAGCAGCGGCTGATCTTCGCCGGCAAGCAGCTGGAAGATGGCCGGACCCTCGCCGACTACAACATCCAGAAGGAGTCGACTCTGCATCTGGTCCTCCGGCTGAGGGGAGGCATGCAGATCTTCGTCAAGACGCTGACGGGCAAGACCATCACCCTGGAGGTGGAGGCCTCCGACACCATTGAGAACGTCAAGGCCAAGATCCAGGACAAGGAGGGCATCCCTCCGGACCAGCAGCGGCTGATCTTCGCCGGCAAGCAGCTCGAAGATGGCCGGACCCTCGCCGACTACAACATCCAGAAGGAGTCGACTCTGCACCTGGTCCTCCGGCTGAGGGGTGGCATGCAGATCTTTGTCAAGACGCTGACGGGCAAGACCATCACCCTAGAGGTGGAGGCCTCCGACACCATTGAGAACGTCAAGGCCAAGATCCAGGACAAGGAGGGCATCCCTCCGGACCAGCAGCGGCTGATCTTCGCGGGCAAGCAGTTAGAAGATGGCCGGACCCTCGCCGACTACAACATCCAGAAGGAGTCGACTCTGCATCTGGTCCTGCGGCTGAGGGGAGGCATGCAGATCTTTGTCAAGACGCTGACGGGCAAGACCATCACCCTGGAGGTGGAGGCCTCCGACACCATTGAGAACGTCAAGGCCAAGATCCAGGACAAGGAGGGCATCCCTCCGGACCAGCAGCGGCTGATCTTCGCCGGCAAGCAGCTGGAAGATGGCCGGACCCTCGCCGACTACAACATCCAGAAGGAGTCTACTCTGCACCTGGTCCTGCGGCTGAGGGGAGGCATGCAGATCTTTGTCAAGACTCTGACGGGCAAGACCATCACCCTGGAGGTGGAGGCCTCCGACACCATTGAGAACGTCAAGGCCAAGATCCAGGACAAGGAGGGCATCCCTCCGGACCAGCAGCGGCTGATCTTCGCCGGCAAGCAGCTCGAAGATGGCCGGACCCTCGCCGACTACAACATCCAGAAGGAGTCGACTCTGCATCTGGTCCTGCGGCTGAGGGGCGGCGTTTAAACCCCGCGGCCAGAGACCGCTTTCGGGCAACCCGCTCGTAGCGCGTTTTTTTTTTTTATTTTTCTCTTAGTTTCAAACTCGCCCGAGCCGTGTTTTTTTTTTTTCTTTTGTCGGCCCACGTCCTCCTCCGTTGGCCACGCGCCGATCTCGGCCGCCCCCTCGGTGCGCTGCGCGCCGGCGTCTCGCTGCGAACCTTGCGCGGGTTGCACGCCACGCCTTAAGCGGTTTAAAAGTGTTCCCGCTGCCGGCGTTGGTGGTGATTTTTGTCGTGCGAGGCGGTAGTAAAAAGCGAAAATGAATTCCTGCCCGGCGGCGGTGGTGGTGGTGTTGTTTTTTTTTGGATTTGCGGTTGAGGTGAATGGGTGTTTTTTTTTTTCCCCCCCCCCCCTTCCCCTCCGTTAACGCTGGAATCTTTAAACGCGGGTGGCTCGGCATGCAGGCTGGTGTGAGGCTGGGCGAGTGAGCGAGTGTCTGAGTGAGTGTCTGGGCGAGAGAGTGAGTGAGCGTGCGGGTGTGTGTCCGGGTGAGTGGGTGAGTGTCTGGGCGAGTGAGCGTGTGAGTGAGTGTCTGGGCGAGTGAGTGGGCAAGTCGGCGAGTGTCTGGGTGAGCGAGTGGGCGAGTGAGTGTCTGGGCGAGTGAGTGGGCGAGTGGCTGGGTGAGTGATCAGGTGAGTGGCTGGGCGAATGAGTGAGTGGGTGAGTGTCTGGGCGAGTCAGCGGGTGAGTGTCCGGATCACGTATCCATGTCAACGATGTTGCAGCTGGGCACCCACTGAAGGAGCTTCTTGGTGACCTCAAAGGTGAAATAGTTTTCGTGGGTGATCTGAATTGGAATTGGCTAAATCCGCCGGTCCGTGGCCACAAATTTTGCGGCTCAATTTAACCCCTTTCACTTAATAAATGTCCTCGCAAAAGACCCCACCTAAAAAAAATCCGGGGCAGTCAACTCTGCTTGACGTCCTTGTTGACAAATGCCCCTCACAGTTTCGCACTGACCGGTGTTCTGGGTAATAACCTTGGTGATCACTCCTTCATATTTGGGGTGAGATCATCAGCCAGACGTCAAAGCCCCCCCTAAATTGGTTGAGAAGCATTCTATGAGACACTTCAGCACTCAGGCGTTTTACTAATGTCCTTCACTGGGATATTAACGAGGTCTGTGATATCCCCAAACCTGACTACGGCTTGGGAGACCTTCAGGTACACGTCTCTCCAAGTTCTGGACAAACATGCATCCGTTGGTTAGATTTAAAACTCGAGGCGACCGCCCGCCATGGTTTGAACCTTTGATTGCTAAGCTCGTGAGAACTCGGGACGAGGCTTGGGCATTCGCTCGGGAAAGTAATCTGCTTAACGACTGGCTAGAGTACGGGATTTTAAAGGGATAGATGCGTCAAAATCAAAGTACGGCGTGCAAAAGATGCCTAACTCTTCCTCCACTCTTCCTGGAATCACGTGGAAATGCTGAGGATTTTCTGGGAAAACATCCAAAACGGACAATCTGCCCGTTGAGCCGAACCGAAATGGGAATTGTTTCTCAGAGCGCCAAAAAATATAGTTGCCGATTTTAACTTTCATTTGCACTGAAGCTGGTAATCCTTTTGATAATGTATTGGGAGTCACCCCCTGTATCATGCAAATCCCTACGACCCCTGGCCAAACATTACACGAATTTAGTTTCCAGCCCATCCACGGAAGTAATGCTCTGAAACAACTGCCCTACCTCAAAGGGTCCTCTACCGGAGTGGAACAGGTCCCCCTGCAGGGTGGGCTGGTAGGAACATTGGAATTTTGCGCAATTTTATGACATTTTTATACTTCCAAATGTTGGGTGCAATAAGACTTATCAAGTCTGCGCTGTCTATTGCTGATTTTACACCCCAACAGCACGAGATTTCACTTCGTTAAAGTATTAAAAGGGGACGGACGGACACATTAATCTACCAGTATTAGCATTCCCGTATTTGCTCTGCTAACTATCGCTCACCTGATATACAAACCTGCAGCCCATATTTTCAACCCTGTCCATGAAAGGAGCATCAGCGCCTCCAGAATTGAAACATTCCTATGTCAGCCCTAAAGATGATCCCAACAACTACTGACCGATCTCGTTCCCGGTTGATGAAATTTTTTTTTCTTAAAAACGATTGAACTACCAAATCAGCGGTTTGCTAACCGGCAGCAATCCCTTACATCGGCGGTGGTGATGGTGGCATCATGACGTAGCATCACCGCTGCGTCACACGCGCGTGTGTGACGTCACTACTGCCGGTGAGCGTCACGGCCACGTGGGTCTACACACACAGACACAACAACAACCGCCATTCGCCACTAAGTGGCGGTGACGTCACCACGACGCTTGTGCCAGGCCACGTGCACCCTGAGGCCACGTGAAGTGTCGAACGCCCGCTGGCAGGAGGTCATGGGGCAGACCCAGCAGGTGCCACGGGTCGACTGACTGCGATGACTGGCTGATGCACCACCTGTGCCCCCTAACTGTGCCAGATAAAGATCCCCCGTATAGCCTTAACAGACTGTAGGGGCAAGTGCTGTTAGCAAGCAGCTATGAAGGCCGGTAACGGTACACGAGGAGGTGGGTGGTCAGCACCACGCCCGACCGCCTTTGTCTCCCCAGTGGCAATGTTTACACACCACACCAGGTACTCATTTGAGGCTGAGTCGACCTAGGGGAGGCCCGTGACCGGTTCAGAAAATCGTCACCGGTGCTGGCCGTAAGCGGGAATCAAACCCAGGTCACCAGGTTCATAGCGCAGCGTAAGCGCTAACCGCTACACTATCGCACACAGACACAGACACACAGACATAGACACACACACAGACAGTCACACACAGACAGTCACACAAATACACAGACAGAGACACACACAGACACACAGACACAGTCACACAGACGCACACAGTCACACAAAGACAGACAGACAGAGACACAGACAGACACACACACAGACACACACGACGTCATCCCAGACTGGAGGCGGGAACGACGTCGGGGCCGGTTCTGGACTCGGGGAGGCCACGAGGGTGGTGGCGTGGGGTCGTGGCGCTCTTGGTGACCCCCGGCTGGACACGTGACTGGACCCCAGTGGGGGCCGGAGGCACCTCGGGGGTCCGTGTGAGCAGCCTCGTCGCGAGGCGCAGGGCTGCCGCTTGCCCGTGTCAACAACGAAGATGCCTCGTCAAGACGCCAAGAAGACACCCGTGGGTAGGGCCCAGCCATGGGAGTACTCTAGAATAGCGGTAGACGTGTGGGTAAGTCCCGCCAACACGGGAGTCTAGAGATCTGTGTGTAGGTCCCAGCAGGAGTATTCTAGAATAGCGGTAGACGTGTGGGTAAGTCCTGCCAACACCGGAGTCAGGAGATCCGTGTGTAGGTCCCAGCCGGAGTACTCTAGCGGTAGACGTGTGGGTAAGTCACGCCAACACCAGAGTCTAGAGATCTGTGTGTAGGTCCCAGCAGGAGTACTCTAGAATAGTGGTAGACATGTGGGTAAGTCCCGCCGAGACTGGAGTCTAGAAATCCGTGTGTAGGTCCCAGCCGGAGTACTCCAGAATAGCGGTAGACGTGTGGGTAAGTCCCGCCAACACCGGAGTCTAGAGATCTGTGTGTAGGTCCCAGCCGCGGGACTCTAGAATAGCGGTAGACGTGTGGGTAAGTCCCACCAACACAGGAGTCTAGAGATCTGTGTGTAGGTCCCAGCTGGAGTAGTCTAGAATAGCGGTAGGCGTGTGGGTAAGTCCCGCCAACACTGGTGTCAAGAGATCCGTGTGTAGGTCTCAGCTGGAGTACTCTAGAATAGCGGTAGGCGTGTGGGTAAGTCCCGCTGAGACTGGAGTCTAGAGATCCGTGTGTAGGTCCCAGCTGGAGTAGTCTAGAATAGCGGTAGGCGTGTGGGTAAGTCCCGCCAACACTGGTGTCAAGAGATCCGTGTGTAGGTCTCAGCTGGAGTACTCTAGAATAGCGGTAGGCGTGTGGGTAAGTCCCGCTGAGACTGGAGTCTAGAGATCCGTGTGTAGGTCTCAGCCGGAGTACTCTAGAATAGCGGTAGGCGTGTGGGTAAGTCACGCCAACACCGGACTCAAGAGATCTGTGTGTGTAGGTCCCAGCCGGAGTACTCTAGAATAGCGGTAGACGTGTGGGTAAGTCCCGCCAAGACCGGAGTCAGGAGATCCGTGTGTAGGTCCCAGCCACGGGAGGTACTCTAGAATAGTGGTAGACGTGTGGGTAAGTCCCGCCGAGACTGGAGTCTGTACCTCCCTAGAGTATCTGACAAGTTGTGTGTTAGCTAGAGAAAGTCGGTGGTCACCGCCCTATGCGCTATGCAAGAGTTCAACTGTTGTGTTCGTCAAGAAGTAAGTGTCGCCGCCCGAGAACTTGCGCGTGCACCTAATTCGAATCCACGACCACATCGAAACCAATCTGGGTTCTGATTAAAAAAAAATACAGCACCACATCTGCTGCCGTTAGACTCCCTGAAACACACAGTTACAGTAGCCGTGATAATAAGCGGTAGTGCGCCGGTCTTCTTCTTTGACCTGTCCAAAGCCCTTGATGCAGTAAACCACGACAGCCTGCATGGTAAACCAAGTTGCCTCCGTTTCTCCAAACACGCAGTAGAATTGGTTAAAAAGAAAATCGTAATAATACCTCTTTTTCTCGCACCCAAACTGTCTTCGCAGATGTCCGTAGGTCAAACGGCGTTAAGATAACAAAAGGGGTTCCACAGGGTTCCATCCTCGGCCCCCTCTTGTTCTCTCTTTACGTCAATGACTTGGGCACTGACCCGGATCATTCCGGGGTAAATCTGTTTGCAGGTGACACGATAATGATTACCGCTGGCCGCTCAACGGATGACGGTGATTGCTAAGCTCTAGGGTGATTTCAACAAACTACAACATCAGCCGGTTGCTCTTAAACAAAATCCAGAATACCTCCAAAACCAAATTGCTATGCTTCTCACCGGGACTAAAGCGGGAAGTTATTTTTTCCCCAAATGCATTCCTTGAATAATGATCGAATAGAGCAAGGTCAAGATCTATAAGTATCTTGGGGTCATCCTGGATTCAAAACTTAGTTTTGAAGATCACATTGATTATATTGGTAAAAAGACAAAAATAAAAATTGGTTTTCTGTATCGACACAAGCACTGCTTCCCCCCAATGTTCCGTTTTAGAATTGATAAAAGCTACCATACTGCCTCTACTTGATTGCTGTGACATCGTGTATAAATCAGCCCCAAGTACTGTACTGAAGAAGCTTGATTCCATCCATCACACGGCCTTGAGATTTGCATTGAACTGCCCATATAGGACTCACCACTGTGATCTCTACATTGGGTCAAACGTAACATCTCTGAATGTTCGACGGCTCGTGCACCAGATCTTATTGATTCCCGATGTGCTTACAAGAAAAATCCGCGGACTTACCTGCTGCTGGATCTCCCCTCTGTCTCAAAGGACAAATTTGACCCCAGGTCTTCGCTCATTTACCGGCTTCGCATTCCCCCTATTGACGTACAAAAACCGGAGGAAGGGCCTTTGCTATTGATGACCCCCAGGGCCTGGAATTCCATCGCCAATAAACTGCAACTTGAATCGCTACCGGCGAGATCTTAACTTTCGCGAAACTGCTCTAGAGGAGTTGTACACCCCCTAGCTGCCGCTGCTATTCAAGTGGCCTCAAATAAAATGTTTCTCGCTCCGAATGGCCGCCGGAAAGTGTTATCTTGAGTTTTGAATTTAAAGCGCGCTGATCTTTAAAGGCGCATTGAAAAATGTTGAGGCTCTGACATGATGCTCCCGCTGTTGTGGAGTGACTGATGCAACAGGCTGTGGCTGTAGGCTTTGGTGGCACGTGTTGCTTACGTAGTTTATTGCAAAAAAAAATTCGCTCGCAGTCCCTGTGATCGCTGTTGCATTTATGGCTTTATTTTGGTGATTTCGAAAACGTTTTTTTTTCGTTTGGTTTGGCCATGGTTTTTTGTTCGTTGTAGTACGGGGTTAGACTGATGGCTTTGATGTAAAGTTGTCCTGTGGTGGCGGTTGTTGTTGTTGTGGTTGTTGTTGTTGTTTGAATTTTGCATCCCACTGGGATTTTTTTGCGCGCAGCGTTGATGATGCACGGTGGATTTTTTCAGGAATATTTTTTGCTGTGTTTTTGCTCTCTCCCCCCCCCCCCCCCTGGATGTTTTTTCTGTTTTGCTCAGTCGCACGTAGTAGTCACTTTAAGGTGTTTGTTTTTACTGCTCGTGTTCTTGTTTCCTGTTGCGGTCGCACGCGAGTCAAGGGCCGAATGGATCACAGGGGCCCTATCATCTCCATACGTACGCAAGGCAAAGTTAGTTGTGATTGTGTGTTGTATGTTCAAAATGCTTGGCGTATTTCCCGACATGCAACAAACTTCAGATTTGCCATGTGGGTTACTTTCCAGACTTACACCATGCAAACGTTATAAAACTATACTTGAGTTTTTTTTGGGGGGGGGGAGGGGTGGGGGCGGTGGGAGCTCAATAAGGCAGAGATTTTTGTTGCACTGAAAGTGAGCTGTGACGTCACGTCTGTCACGTGACCCGCGCACGTGGAAGCGTAACGCATTGTAGTGTAGTGGTTAGCGCGCTGTCTGTGTGTGTGTCTGTGTGTGTGTCTGTGTGTGGCTGGGTCACGTAGCCCGCATGCCCAGCCACCGCATGCCGAAACAGCTTTTGTTCGGCCGGATTGAGGGGGCTAAGCGGGCGCGGCACGGGCTAGAGAAGAGATGGAGTGATGTGGTACAGGAGGACGTGGAGCTGAGTGGACTTGCCGATGACCGGTACCAGCGGTGTCAAGATCGGCCTCTATGGAGGAGGCTCGTGAAGGACGCTACTACCGGGCAGTGCCAGGCTAGGTGCACCTTGAGGCTACTGGGCAGTTGGAGGCAGTCGCCCTCCAACAACAACGGAGGGCGGAGGAGCGACGCTCACAACAACGAGCGGAGCGCCGGGTGGCTAAAGCACAGCGGGTTGGCACAGTAGGGGGCACAGGTGGTGCATCAGCCAGTCATCTCAGTCAGTCGACCCGTGGCACCTGGGTCTGCCCCGTGACCTCCTGCCAGCGGGCGTTCGACACTTCACGTGGCCTCAAGGTGCACATAGCCTGGCACAAGCGTCGTGGTGACGTCACCGCCACTTAGTGGCGAATAGCGGTTGTTGTTGTGTCTGTGTGTATCTGTGTGTCTGTGTGTGTGTCTGTCTGTGTGTGTATCTGTGTGTCTGTGTCTCTGTGTGTGTGTATCTGTGTGTGTGTATCTGTGTGTGTGTCTGTGTGTGTATGTATCTGTGTGTCTGTGTGTGTATCTGTGTGTGTGTATCTGTGTGTGTGTATCTGTGTGTATCTGTGTGTGTATGTATCTGTGTGTGTATCTGTGTGTGTGTGTATCTGTGTGTGTGTCTGTGTGTGTGTGGGGAGCGGTGGGTGTAGTGGTTAGCGCTACGCCGCGCTACGAACCCGCCGACCCGAGTTCGATTCCCGCTCACTGCCACCACCGGTGACGATTATTTTAACCGGTCCTGGGCCACCCCTAGGTCGACTCAGCCTCAAACGAGTAGCTGGTGTGCTGTGTGAACATCGCCACTGGGGAGACAAAGGCGGCCGGGCGTGGTGGATCCAAATCGCGGGCGAAGTCGGCTACCCAGTCCCTACCACACCCCACGTGACTTCCGGCGGGGCTGCCCCAGGGGGGGGCGGGGATGGAGGGCGGGGCCTGGTGGGGTGGGGGCGGGATGGAGGGCGGGGCCTGGTGGGATGGGGGATTGAGGGCGGGGATGGAGGGCGGGGCCTGCTGGGGTGGGGGCGGGGATGGAGGAGGGGCCTGGTGGGGCTGGGGATGGAGGGCGGCGATGGAGGGCGGGGCCTGGTGGGGTGGGGGCGGGACCTGGTGAGGTGGGGGCGGGGCCTGGTGGGGTGGGGGCGGGGATGGAGGGCGGGGCAGGGATGGAGGCGGGCACCGGAAGTTCCGAACCCGGAACCGGAAGCGGACGCATCCCGGAAGTGGAGGCGCCACGCGTCCAGCACCTCCATCGCCTCATCCGTGTTTGTGAATCACTCCGAGTGGTGAGTCCCTCTGTGTGTCTCTGTGTCTCCGTGTGTGTCTCTCTGTGTCTCTCTGTGTCTCTCCGTGTCTCCGTGTGTGTCTCTCTGTGTGTCTCTGTGTCCCTGTGTCCCCGTGTGTGTCTCTGTGTCTCTCCGTGTCTCTGTGTGAGTCTCTCTGTGTCTCCGTGTGAGTCTCTCTGTGTCTCTCCGTGTCTCCGTGTGAGTCCCTCTGTGTCTCTGTGTGAGTCTCTCTGTGTCTCTCTGTGTCTCTGTGTGAGTCTCTCTGTGTCTCTCTGTGTCTCCGCGTGAGTCTCTCTGTGTCTCCGTGTGAGTCTCTCTGTGTCTCTGTGTCCCCATGTCTCCGTGTGAGTCTCTCTGTGTCTCCGTGTGAGTCTCTCTGTGTCTCTGTGAGTCTCTCTGTGTCTCCGTGTGAGTCTCTCTGTGTCTCTGTGTGAGTCTCTCTGTGTCTCCGTGTGAGTCTCTCTGTGTCTCTCTGTGTCTCTGTGTCTCTGTGTGTGTCTCTCTGTGTTTCCGTGTGAGACTCTCTGTGTCTCTGTGGGAGTCTCTCTGTGTCTCCGTGTGAGTCTCTCTGTGTCTCTCTGTGTCTCTGTGTGTGTCTCTCTGTGTTTCCGTGTGAGTCTCTCTGTCTCTCTGTGCCTCCGTGTGAGTATCTCCGTGTCTCAGTGTGAGTCTCTCTGAGTCTCTCCGTGTCTCTGTGTCCCCGTGTGAGTCTCTCTGTGTCTCTCTGTGTCTCTGTGTGAGTCTCTCCGTGTCTCTGTGTGAGTCTGTGTCGATGTGTCTCTGTGTGAGTCTCTCTGTCTCCGTGTGAGTCTCTCTGAGTCTCCGTGTGTGTCTCTCTGTGTCTTTGTGTGAGTCTCTCCTTGTCTCTCTGTGTCTCCGTGTGAGTCTCTCTGTCTCTGTGTCTCCGTGTGAGTCTCTCTGTGTCTCTCTGTGTCTCTGTGTGAGTCTCTCTGTGTCTCTCTGTGTCTCCGTGTGAGTCTCTCTGTGTCTCTCTGTGTCTCCGTGTGAGTCTCTCTGTGTCTCTCTGTGTCTCCGTGTGAGTCTCTCTGTGTCTCCGTGAGTCTACCCGTGTCTCCGTGTGAGTCCCTCCGTGTCTCTGTCTCTCTGTGTCTCCCCGTGTCTCCGTGTGAGTCCCTCTGTGTCTCTGTGTCCCCATGTCTCCGTGTGAGTCTCTCTGTGTCTCCGTGTGAGTCCCTCTGTGTCTCTGTGTGAGTCTACCCGTGTCTCCGTGTGAGTCTCTCTGTGTCTCCGTGTGAGTCTCTCTGTGTCTCCGTGTGAGTCTACCCGTGTCTCCGTGTGAGTCCCTCTGTGTCTCTGTGTCTCTCCGTGTGAGTGGTCTCGTGTCTCCCCGTGTCTCCGTGTGTCCGTGTGAGTCTCTCCATGTCTCCGTGTGAGTCTCTCTGTGTCTCTCCGTGTCTCTGTGTGTCTGTGTTTCCCTGTGAGTCTCTCTGTGTCTCTCTGTGTCTCTCTGTGTCTCCGTGTGTGTCTCTCTGTGTTTCTCCGTGTCTCTGTGTGAGTCTCTCTGTGTCTCTCCGTGTCTCTCCGTGTCTCCGTGTGAGTCTCTCTGTGTCTCCGTGTGAGTCTCTCTGTGTCTCTCTGTGTCTCTGTGTGTGTCTCTCTGTGTTTCCGTGTGAGACTCTCTGTGTCTCTGTGGGAGTCTCTCTGTGTCTCCGTGTGAGTCTCTCTGTGTCTCTCTGTGTCTCTGTGTGTGTCTCTCTGTGTTTCCGTGTGAGTCTCTCTGTCTCTCTGTGCCTCCGTGTGAGTATCTCCGTGTCTCAGTGTGAGTCTCTCTGAGTCTCTCCGTGTCTCTGTGTCCCCGTGTGAGTCTCTCTGTGTCTCTCTGTGTCTCTGTGTGAGTCTCTCCGTGTCTCTGTGTGAGTCTGTGTCGATGTGTCTCTGTGTGAGTCTCTCTGTCTCCGTGTGAGTCTCTCTGAGTCTCCGTGTGAGTCTCTCTGTGTCTCTGTGTGAGTCTCTCCTTGTCTCTCTGTGTCTCCGTGTGAGTCTCTCTGTCTCTGTGTCTCCGTGTGAGTCTCTCTGTGTCTCTCTGTGTCTCTGTGTGAGTCTCTCTGTGTCTCTCTGTGTCTCCGTGTGAGTCTCTCTGTGTCTCTCTGTGTCTCCGTGTGAGTCTCTCTGTGTCTCTCTGTGTCTCCGTGTGAGTCTCTCTGTGTCTCCGTGAGTCTACCCGTGTCTCCGTGTGAGTCCCTCCGTGTCTCTGTCTCTCTGTGTCTCCCCGTGTCTCCGTGTGAGTCCCTCTGTGTCTCTGTGTCCCCATGTCTCCGTGTGAGTCTCTCTGTGTCTCCGTGTGAGTCCCTCTGTGTCTCTGTGTGAGTCTACCCGTGTCTCCGTGTGAGTCTCTCTGTGTCTCCGTGTGAGTCTCTCTGTGTCTCCGTGTGAGTCTACCCGTGTCTCCGTGTGAGTCCCTCTGTGTCTCTGTGTCTCTCCGTGTGAGTGGTCTCGTGTCTCCCCGTGTCTCCGTGTGTCCGTGTGAGTCTCTCCATGTCTCCGTGTGAGTCTCTCTGTGTCTCTCCGTGTCTCTGTGTGTCTGTGTTTCCCTGTGAGTCTCTCTGTGTCTCTCTGTGTCTCTCTGTGTCTCCGTGTGTGTCTCTCTGTGTGTCTCCGTGTCTCTGTGTGAGTCTCTCTGTGTCTCTCCGTGTCTCTCCGTGTCTCCGTGTGAGTCTCTCTGTGTCTCTGTGTGAGTCTCTCTGTGTCTCAGTGTGAGTCTCTCTGTGTCTCCGTGTGAGTCTCTCTGTCTCTCTGTGTCTCTGTGTGAGTCTCTCTGTGTCTCCGTGTCTCTGTGTGAGTCTGTGTCTCCCTGTGAGTCTCTCTGTGTCTCCGTGTCTCCGTGTGAGTCTCTCTGTGTCTCTCCGTGTCTCTGTGTGAGTCTATCTGTGTCACTGTGTGAGTTTCTCCGTGTCTCTCCGTGTCTCTGTGTGAGTCTGTGTCTCCGTGTGAGTCTCTCTGTGTCTCTCCGTGTCTCTGTGTGAGTCTCTCTGTGTCTCTCCGTGTCTCTCTGTGTCTCTCCGTGTCTCCGTGTGAGTCCCTCTGTGTCTCTGTGTGAGTCTCTCTGTGTCTCTGTGTGAGTCTCTCTGTGTCTCTCCGTGTCTCCGTGTGAGTCCCTCTGTGTCTCCGTGTGAGTCTCTCTGTGTCTCTCTGTGTCTCCGTGTGAGTCTCTCTGTGTCTCCGTGTGAGTCCCTCTGTGTCTCCGTGTGAGTCTCTCTGTGTCTCTCTGTGTCTCCGTGTGAGCCTCTCTGTGTCTCCGTGTGAGTCCCTCTGTGTCTCCGTGTGAGTCTCTCTGTGTCTCCGTGTCTCTGTGTGAGTCTCTCCGTGTCTCCGTGTGAGTCCCTCCGTGTCTCTGTCTCTCTGTGTCTCTCCGTGTCTCCGTGTGAGTCCCTCTGTGTCTCCGTGTGTGACTCTCTGTGTCTCCGTGTGAGTCTACCCGTGTCTCTGTGTCTCCGTGTGAGTCTCTCTGTGTCTCCGTGTGTGTCTCTCTGTGTCTCTGTGTGAGTCTCTCTGTGTCTCTGTGTGAGTCTCTCTGTGTCTCCGTGTGAGTCTCTCTGTGTCTCCGTGTGAGTCTCTCTGTGTCTCTCTGTCTCTCTGTGTCTCCGTGTGTGTCTCTCTGTGTCTCTGTGTGTGTCTCTCTGTGTCTCTGTGTGAGTCTCTCTGTGTCTCTGTGTCTCCGTGTGAGTCTATCCGTGTCTCCGTGTGAGTCTCTCTGTGTCTCTCTGTCTCTCTGTGTCTCCGTGTGAGTCCCTCTGTGTCTCCGTGTGAGTCCCTCTGTGTCTCCGTGTGTGTCTCTCTGTGTCTCCGTGTGAGTCTACCCGTGTCTCTGTGTCTCCCTGTGAGTCTATTCGTGTCTCCGTGTGAGTCTCTCTGTGTCTCTGTGTCTCCCTGTGAGTCTATCCGTGTCTCCGTGTGAGTCTCCCTGTGAGTCTATCCGTGTCTCCGTGTGAGTCTCTCTGTGTCTCTCTGTCTCTCTGTGTCTCCGTGTGAGTCTCTCTGTGTCTCCGTGTGAGTCCCTCTGTGTCTCCGTGTGAGTCTCTCTGTGTCTCTCCGTGTCTCCGTGTGAGTCTCTGTGTGTCTCCGTGTGAGTCTCTCCGTGTCTCCGTGTGTGTCTCTCTGTGTCTCCGTGTGAGTCCCTCTGTGTCTCCGTGTGTGTCTCTCTGTGTCTCCGTGTGAGTCTACCCGTGTCTCCGTGTGAGTCCCTCCGTGTCTCTGTCTCTCTGTGTCCCCGTGTGAGTGGTCTCGTGTCTCCCCGTGCCTCTGTGTCTCCCCGTGTCTCCCCGTGTCTCCGTGTCTCCCATGTGAGTGGTCTCTGTGTCTCCGTGTCTCCCATGTGAGTGGTCTCTGTCTCCGTGTCTCCCATGTGAGTGGTCTCTGTGTCTCCGTGTCTCCCATGTGAGTGGTCTCTGTGTCTCCGTGTCTCCCCATGTGAGTGGTCTCTGTGTCTCCGTGTCTCCCATGTGAGTGGTCTCTGTGTCTCCGTGTCTCCCCATGTGAGTGGTCTCTGTGTCTCCGTGTCTCCCCGTGTGAGTGGTCTCTGTGTCTCCGTGTCTCCCATGTGAGTGGTCTCTGTGTCTCCGTGTCTCCCCATGTGAGTGGTCTCCGTGTCTCCGTGTCTCCCCGTGTGAGTGGTCTCTGTGTCTCCGTGTCTCCCCGTGTGAGTGGTCTCTGTGTCTCCGTGTCTCCCATGTGAGTGGTCTCCGTGTCTCCGTGTCTCCCCGTGTGAGTGGTCTCTGTGTCTCCGTGTCTCCCATGTGAGTGGTCTCTGTGTCTCCGTGTCTCCCATGTGAGTGGTCTCCGTGTCTCCGTGTCTCCCATGTGAGTGGTCTCTGTGTCTCCGTGTCTCCCCGTGTGAGTGGTCTCTGTGTCTCCGTGTCTCCCATGTGAGTGGTCTCCGTGTCTCCGTGTCTCCCCGTGTGAGTGGTCTCTGTGTCTCCGTGTCTCCCCGTGTGAGTGGTCTCTGTGTCTCTGTGTCTCCCATGTGAGTGGTCTCTGTGTCTCCGTGTCTCCCATGTGAGTGGTCTCTGTGTCTCCGTGTCTCCCATGGGAGTGGTCTCTGTGTCTCCGTGTCTCCCATGTGAGTGGTCTCTGTGTCTCCGTGTCTCCCCGTGTGAGTGGTCTCTGTGTCTCCGTGTCTCCCATGGGAGTAGTCTCCGTGTCTCCGTGTCTCCCATGGGAGTGGTCTCTGTGTCTCCGTGTCTCCCCGTGTGAGTGGTCTCTGTGTCTCCGTGTCTCCCCATGTGAGTGGTCTCTGTGTCTCCGTGTCTCCCCGTGTGAGTGGTCTCTGTGTCTCCGTGTCTCCCATGGGAGTAGTCTCCGTGTCTCCGTGTCTCCCATGGGAGTGGTCTCTGTGTCTCCGTGTCTCCCCATGTGAGTGGTCTCTGTGTCTCCGTGTCTCCCCGTGTGAGTGGTCTCTGTGTCTCCGTGTCTCCCATGGGAGTAGTCTCCGTGTCTCCGTGTCTCCCATGGGAGTAGTCTCCGTGTCTCCGTGTCTCCCATGTGAGTGGTCTCTGTGTCTCCGTGTCTCCCCGTGTGAGTGGTCTCTGTGTCTCCGTGTCTCCCATGGGAGTGGTCTCTGTGTCTCCGTGTCTCCCCATGTGAGTGGTCTCTGTGTCTCCGTGTCTCCCATGTGAGTGGTCTCCGTGTCTCCCCGTGTCTCCCCGTGTGAGTTGTCCCCGTGTCTCCCCGTGTCTCCCCGTGTCTCCCATGTGAGTGGTCTCCGTGTCTCCGTGTCTCCCATGGGAGTGACACTTGCCACTGTTTTTGTCTCCCCGTTGTCTTTGTCTTGGAGACGTCTCCAAGATCTTGACACTTACAGCCCAGATTCACAGCGGTGGGTGGTGGTGGCTTTAGTTGTGGTGGTGGTTGTGGTGGTGGTGGTAGCTTTAGTTGTGGTGGTGGTGGTAGCTTTAGTTGTGGTGGTTGTGGTGGTGGTAGCTTTAGTTGTGGTGGTTGTGGTAGCTTTAGTTGTGGTGGTGGTGGTTGTGGTTGTGGTAGCTTTAGTTGTGGTGGTGGTAGCTTTAGTTGTGGTGATAGTGAGGTGGTACTGGTGGTAGCTTTAGTTGTGGTGGTTGTGGTGGTGGTAGCTTTAGTTGTGGTGGTAGTGAGGTACTGGTGGTAGCTTTAGTTGTGGTGGTTGTGGTAGCTTTAGTTGTGGTGGTTGTGGTAGCTTTAGTTGTGGTGGTAGTGAGGTGGTACTGGTGGTAGCTTTAGTTGTGGTGGTGGTAGTGGTGGTAGTGGTTGTGGTGGGAGTTGTGGTGGTAGCGGTGGGAGTGGTTGTGGAAGTCGTGGTGGTAGTGGTGGTGGTGGGAGTGGTGGTGGGAGTGGTGGTGGAAGTGGTGGTGATAGTGGTGGTAGTGGTGGTAGGCCGGAAGACCAAATGCGTGTACAGGTGCAGCGCACTTTGGAATCAACAACAACAACAGCAGCAGCAACATCATCATCAACAACAACAACAGCAGCATCAGCAGCAGCATCAGCAGAAGCAGCATCATCAGCAGGATCATCAGGAGGTGTTGGTGAGATGGCAAGCAGCACTTTTTGGGAAGGTGAGGGGCATGCGTCTATCTGTGTGTGTGTGTGTCTGTGTGTGTGTCTGTGTGTGTGTCTGTGTGTCTGTGTGTGTGTCTGTGTGTGTGTGTGCATGCGTGTGTGTGATTGAATACCTATCCTCGGGGCCACTCCAGAAACAACGAAAAGCCACTACGGGTGGCCACGTGGAATGTTCGAACGCTCACTGCGGAGGAGAGGCTGCCACTCCTCTGTCGGGAGCTGGACCGGTACTGCCTGGATCTATGCGGCATTCAGGAGGTCCGGTGGACCGGCTCTGGCTCCTGCCACCATGAGGGGTGGACAGTCCTCTACTCGAGGCAGCAGACTGCCAAACAACAGGGTGTGGCTCTTCTTTTGAACAAAAGAATGAAGGCATGGGAGCGTGGCGGTGAGGTGTGGGAAGCTGTAAGCCCCAGGCTACTTTGGGCTCGCCTTCCCATCAACCGGAGGCGAGGAATGGTGGTCGTGGTTACTTATGCCCCCACCGAAGATGAACATCCGTGGAGGGATGCAGGCAAAGCCGATGAGTCAGATGCCTTCTATGACCTCCTGTCACAGGTGCTGGCTAAAGTGGCCCCTCGGGATAGAGTAATCATGTTGGGTGACTTCAATGCCCGAGTTGGTCATGATACTGGCACCTGGTCTGGAGTGATTGGAGGGCATGGGCCAGATCAGCTCAATAACAACGGTAGGAGGCTGCTAGATTTTTGTGCAGCCCATGGGCTTGTAATTACCAACACGCTGTTCCGGCATCGGCGCATCCACACAACATCATGGATGCATGCCGGGTCCAAGCAAGAACATCTGCTGGACTGCATAGTGACGGACCAGCAGATGCGAGCCCATGTCCTTGACACCAGGACCTACCGTGGAGCTGATCTGCCCTCTGACCATTGACTAGTCATCTGTAAGATGCGCCTGCCATTCTTCCACTCCGGTGGTGGGTGTACACCCAGGACCCCATTCCGACCTAAAGTGGCCTGGTCTCAGTTATCTGATGAAAGTTGCAAGCGAGAATTTCATCACCGCTTGCGGCTGGGATTGGCATCGTCCCCGACTCCTCCTGATGTCGAGGGTAAATGGGCGAGGTTTAGGACTGTGACTCATGCAGCTGCAATGGCTGCTTTGGGTACGCGGTCCAGACCTCCCCAGAGACCCTGGCTGACAGAGGAGGTGTTCAGGATGGTTGAAAAAAAGCGACAGGCCCACTGCCATCGGCTACAGAATCCCACGTCAGAGAATGAGGAGGCTTACCGCAGCCTTCGCTCGGAGGTTCGGAGAGCCGTGAGGCACTGCAAGGATAGGTGGTGGTCGTGGGTTGCTGAGGAGATGGAGTCTGCCTCAGTGGCCCGTGATCACAAATCTCTATTTAACTCCATCAAAAAAGTAACCTGCAGCGCCACACCTATTACCATCATTAGGGGAAAAAACGGTGATCCAATCTCCGACCCCCAGGAACAGGTTTGCAGATTTGCTGAGCATTTCTGTGAAGTCCTGGGGGAGGGAAAATCCCTCAGCCAGGAAAACATTGTGGCACAAAGTGAGGATGACCCTGCTGAGGCTGCGGTGCCTCAAATATTGGAAGAAGTCACCCCCTGTGAGTGGCTGGCTGAGGTGCCATCTGTTGAGGAAGTACTGAAGGCGATCCAGAGTCTGAGACCAGGAAAGGCAGCGGGCAGAGATGATCTCCCAAGCGAAATGCTGAGGGAGGGTGGCGTTTGTGCACAGACTGCCCTATATGACATCATAACAACAGTCTGGACCACTGGACGGGTTCCGCAGGATTGGAAGGATGCCCTGGTGGTCCCCCTTTTTAAGAAGGGGGACCGCACAGACTGTAACAACTACAGGGGCATCTCACTCCTCAGTGTGCCGGGAAAGGTCCTGGCAAGGATTATTCAGCATCGCCTTGCCAGGCACGCTGAGGAGAGGCTTGCGGAGCCCCAATGCGGTTTCAGGATAGGGCGGTCCTGCACAGATGCCATATTTTCTGTCCGTCTGCTACAGCAGAGGTGTAGGGAATTTCAACAAGACCTACATCTCTGCTTTATTGACCTGGTCAAGGCCTATGATACCATCAGTAGGCCTGGGCTCTGGATCGTTCTTCGTGCTTTTGGAGTACCTGACCCTCTGCTCACGATCATTAAGGACCTTCATGATGGTGAGCGGGCCCGGGTAAAACTACGTGGCCGGGAGTCAGAGCCATTCCCTGTACACCTTGGGGTGCGACAGGGATGTCCTCTGGCTCCCACATTATTTAACATCTATTTTGACCACGTAGTTTGTGAAGCCTTCAATAGCTGTACCGGGGGAATCTCCATATGGTACAGATATAATGGGAGGCTGATCGATGCCCGGGTGCGGTCAAGGGATGGCTCCCTATTGCTCAACCACGTTATGTATGCTGATGATTTGGTAATAGCTGCTCAGTCAGAGGAGGAGTTGGAGACGCTGCTGCTGAGACTGGAGCGTGCCACTAAGAGGTGGGGCCTTACCATCAGCCCCACCAAAACTAAGCACCTGCCTGGGTATTTTGTACCATCGGACACTCCACCCCCACAACTCCCGATCGGTGATGGGGCAGTTGTGGAGAGAGTGGAGAGTTTCCCGTACCTGGGCAGTGTGCTTATGACTGGCTCCAGTTTAACAGCAGAGGTCTCACTCCGAATCAGTCGAGCGGCAATATCTTTTCATCGGTTGCGTAATGCTGTGTAGAAGCTACCTGGTCTGTCGCTCCGCACTAAGCTTCAGGTCTTCTCGGCCACGGTCATTCCCTCTCTTCTCTACGCTTGCGAAACGTGGACCCCCCTAATGGAACATCTTCGCCGGTTAGAAACATTTAGGCTGGCCTGCCTACGATCCATCCTGGGTTTAACCAGACTGGATTGTGTGAGGAGATCACAAATCCTTGAAAGATCTGGGCAAGGTCCCATCGGTGAGCTCCTCCGGCGGGCAAGGCTGCGATGGCTGGGTCATGTAGCCCGCATACCCAGACACCGCATGCCGAAACAACTTTTGTTCGGCCGGATTGAGGGGGCAAAGCGGGCGCGGCACGGGCTAGAGAAGAGATGGGAGTGATGTGGTACAGGAGGACGTGGAGCTGAGTGGACTTGCCGATGACTGGTACCAGCGGTGTCAAGATCGGCCTCTGTGGAGGAGGCTCGTGAAGGACGCTACTGGGCAGTTGGAGGCAGTCGCCCTCCAACAACAACGGAGGGCGGAGGAGCGACGCTCACAACAACGAGCGGAGCGCCGGGTGGCTAAAGCACAGCAGGTTGGCACAGTAGGGGGCACAGGTGGTGCATCAGCCAGTCATCTCAGTCAGTCGACCCGTGGCACCTGGGTCTGCCCCGTGACCTCCTGCCAGCGGGCGTTCGACACTTCACGTGGCCTCAGGGTGCACATAGCCTGGCACAAGCGTCGTGGTGACGTCACCGCCACTTAGTGGCGAATGGCGGTTGTTGTTGTTGTTGTGTCTGTGTGTGTCTGTGTGTGTGTGTCTGTGTGTGTGTGTTACGTGGTGATTGCAGCAATATCATCATCAGCATCATCAGAGTCATCATATCATCATCAGCGTGTCTGCGTGTCTCCCCCGGTGTCTCCCCCCCGTGTCTCCCCTGTCTCCCCCCGTGTCTCCCCGTGTCTCCCCGTGTCTCTCCGTGTCTCTCCCCCCCGTGTCTCCCCTGTCTCCCTCCCGTGTCTCCCCGTGTCCCCCCGTGTCCCCCCGTGTCTCCCCGTGTCTCCCCCCCCGTGTCTCCCCTTGTCTCCCTGTGTGTCTCTCCCTGTCTCTCCCCGTGTCCCCCCGTGTCCCCCCGTGTCTCCCCGTGTCTCCCCGTGTCTCCCCGTGTCCCCCCGTGTCCCCCCGTGTCTCCCCGTGTCTCCCCCCCCGTGTCTCCCCTTGTCTCCCCGTGTGTCTCTCCCTGTCTCTCCCCATGTCTCCCCGTCTCCCCCCGTGTCTCTCCCCGTGTCTCTCCCCTGTCTCCGCGTGTCTCTCCCCGTGTCTCTCCCCGTGTCTCTCCCCGTGTCTCCCCGTGTCTCTCCCCGTGTCTCCCCGTGTCTCCCCGTGTCTCTCCCCTGTCTCTCCCCGTGTCTCCCCGTGTCTCCCCATGTCTCCCCGTGTCTCTCCCCGTGTCTCCCCGTGTCTCCCCGTGTCTCCCCGTGTCTCTCCCCGTGTCTCTCCCCGTGTCTCTCCCCTGTCTCTCCCCATGTCTCTCCCCGTGTCTCCCCGTGTCTCTCCCCGTGTCTCCCCGTGTCTCCCCGTGTCTCTCCCCTGTCTCTCCCCGTGTCTCCCCGTGTCTCCCCGTGTCTCCCCGTGTCTCTCCCCGTGTCTCCCCGTGTCTCCCCGTGTCTCCCCCCGTGTCTCCCCGTGTCTCTCCCCTGTCTCTCCCCGTGTCTCCCCGTGTGTCTCCCCGTGTCTCTCCCCGTGTCTCCCCGTGTCTCCCCGTGTCTCTGTGTCTCCCCGTGTCTCTGTCTCTCCCCGTGTCTCTGTCTCTCCCTGTCTCTCCCCGTGTCTCCCCGTGTCTCCCCGTGTCTCCCCGTGTCTCTGTGTCTCCCTGTGTCTCTGTCTCTCCCCGTGTCTCTGTCTCTCCCCGTGTCTCTCCCCGTGTCTCCCCAGACCTGCGGCGTCAGGCGCGGCAGCTGGAAAATGAACTGGACATGAAGTTGGTGTCCTTCAGCAAACTGTGCACAGCTTGTACTCACCGTGACCAGTACTCGTGAGTACTCACTGTGTCACTGACTGTGTCACTGACTGTGTCACTCACTGTGTCACTCACTGTGTCACTCACTCACTGTGTCACTGTGTCACTCACTCACTGTGTCACTCACTGTGTCACTCACTGTGTCACTCACTGTGTCCTTCAGCAAACTGTGCACAGCTTGTACTCACCGTGACCAGTACTCGTGAGTACTCACTGTGTGACTCACTGTGTCACTCACTGTGTCACTCACTGTGTCACTCACTGTGTCACTCACTGTGTCACTCACTGTGTCCTTCAGCAAACTGTGCACAGCTTGTACTCACCGTGACCAGTACTCGTGAGTACTCACTGTGTCACTCACTGTGTGACTCACTGTGTCACTCACTGTGTCACTCACTGTGTCACTCACTCACTGTGTCACTCACTCACTGTGTCACTCACTGTGTCACTGTGTCACACACTGTGTCACACACTGTGTCACTCACTGTGTCACTCACTGTGTCACTGTGTCACTCACTCACTGCGTCACTCACTGTGTCACTCACTGTGTTACTCACTGTGTCACTCACTGTGTCACTCGCTGTGTCACTCACTGTGTCACTCACTGTGTCACTCACTGTGTCCTTCAGCAAACTGTACACAGCTTGTACTCACCGTGACCAGTACTCGTGAGTACTCACTGTGTCACTCACTGTGTCACTCACTGTGTCACTCACTGTGTCACTCACTGTGTCACTCACTGTGTCACTCACTGTGTCCTTCAGCAAACTGTGCACAGCTTGTACTCACCGTGACCAGTACTCGTGAGGACTCACTGTGTCACTCACTGTGTCACTCACTGTGTCACTCACCGTGTCACTCACTGTGTCACTCACTGTGTCACTCACTCACTCACTGTGTCACTCACTGTGTCACTCACTGTGTCACTCACTGTGTCACTCACTGTGTCCTTCAGCAAACTGTGCACAGCTTGTACTCACCGTGACCAGTACTCGTGAGTACTCACTGTGTCACTCACTGTGTCACTCACTGTGTCACTCACTGTGTCACTCACTGTGTCACTCACTCACTGTGTCACTCACTGTGTCACTCACTGTGTCACTCACTGTGTCACTCACTGTGTCCTTCAGCAAACTGTGCACAGCTTGTACTCACCGTGACCAGTACTCGTGAGTACTCACTGTGTCACTCACTGTGTCACTCACTGTGTCACTCACTGTGTCACTCACTCACTGTGTCACTCACTCACTGTGTCACTCACTCACTGTGTCACTCACTGTGTCACTCACTGTGTCACTCACTGTGTCACTCACTGTGTCCTTCAGCAAACTGTGCACAGCTTGTACTCACCGTGACCAGTACTCGTGAGTACTCACTGTGTCACTCACTGTGTCACTCACTGTGTCACTCACTCACTGTGTCACTCACTGTGTCACTCACTCACTGTGTCACTCACTCACTGTGTCACTCACTGTGTCACTCACTGTGTCACTCACTGTCACTCACTGTGTCACTCACTGTGTCACTGACTGTGTCACTGACTGTGTCACTCACTGTGTCACTCACTGTGTCACTCACTCACTGTGTCACTGTGTCACTCACTCACTGTGTCACTCACTGTGTCACTCACTGTGTCACTCACTGTGTCCTTCAGCAAACTGTGCACAGCTTGTACTCACCGTGACCAGTACTCGTGAGTACTCACTGTGTGACTCACTGTGTCACTCACTGTGTCACTCACTGTGTCACTCACTGTGTCACTCACTGTGTCACTCACTGTGTCCTTCAGCAAACTGTGCACAGCTTGTACTCACCGTGACCAGTACTCGTGAGTACTCACTGTGTCACTCACTGTGTGACTCACTGTGTCACTCACTGTGTCACTCACTGTGTCACTCACTCACTGTGTCACTCACTCACTGTGTCACTCACTGTGTCACTGTGTCACACACTGTGTCACACACTGTGTCACTCACTGTGTCACTCACTGTGTCACTCACTCACTGCGTCACTCACTGTGTCACTCACTGTGTTACTCACTGTGTCACTCACTGTGTCACTCGCTGTGTCACTCACTGTGTCACTCACTGTGTCACTCACTGTGTCCTTCAGCAAACTGTACACAGCTTGTACTCACCGTGACCAGTACTCGTGAGTACTCACTGTGTCACTCACTGTGTGACTCACTGTGTCACTCACTGTGTCACTCACTGTGTCACTCACTGTCACTCACTGTGTCACTCACTGTGTCACTGACTGTGTCACTGACTGTGTCACTCACTGTGTCACTCACTGTGTCACTCACTCACTGTGTCACTGTGTCACTCACTCACTGTGTCACTCACTGTGTCACTCACTGTGTCACTCACTGTGTCCTTCAGCAAACTGTGCACAGCTTGTACTCACCGTGACCAGTACTCGTGAGTACTCACTGTGTCACTCACTGTGTCACTCACTGTGTCACTCACTGTGTCACTCACTGTGTCACTCACTGTGTCACTCACTGTGTCCTTCAGCAAACTGTGCACAGCTTGTACTCACCGTGACCAGTACTCGTGAGTACTCACTGTGTCACTCACTGTGTGACTCACTGTGTCACTCACTGTGTCACTCACTGTGTCACTCACTCACTGTGTCACTCACTCACTGTGTCACTCACTGTGTCACTGTGTCACACACTGTGTCACACACTGTGTCACTCACTGTGTCACTCACTGTGTCACTGTGTCACTCACTCACTGCGTCACTCACTGTGTCACTCACTGTGTTACTCACTGTGTCACTCACTGTGTCACTCGCTGTGTCACTCACTGTGTCACTCACTGTGTCACTCACTGTGTCCTTCAGCAAACTGTACACAGCTTGTACTCACCGTGACCAGTACTCGTGAGTACTCACTGTGTCACTCACTGTGTGACTCACTGTGTCACTCACTGTGTCACTCACTGTGTCACACACTGTGTCACTCACTGTGTCCTTCAGCAAACTGTGCACAGCTTGTACTCACCGTGACCAGTACTCGTGAGGACTCACTGTGTCACTCACTGTGTCACTCACTGTGTCACTCACCGTGTCACTCACTGTGTCACTCACTGTGTCACTCACTCACTCACTGTGTCACTCACTGTGTCACTCACTGTGTCACTCACTGTGTCACTCACTGTGTCCTTCAGCAAACTGTGCACAGCTTGTACTCACCGTGACCAGTACTCGTGAGTACTCACTGTGTCACTCACTGTGTCACTCACTGTGTCACTCACTGTGTCACTCACTGTGTCACTCACTCACTGTGTCACTCACTCACTGTGTCACTCACTGTGTCACTCACTGTGTCACTCACTGTGTCCTTCAGCAAACTGTGCACAGCTTGTACTCACCGTGACCAGTACTCGTGAGTACTCACTGTGTCACTCACTGTGTCACTCACTGTGTCACTCACTGTGTCACTCACTCACTGTGTCACTCACTCACTGTGTCACTCACTCACTGTGTCACTCACTCACTGTGTCACTCACTGTGTCACTCACTGTGTCACTCACTGTGTCACTCACTGTGTCCTTCAGCAAACTGTGCACAGCTTGTACTCACCGTGACCAGTACTCGTGAGTACTCACTGTGTCACTCACTGTGTCACTCACTGTGTCACTCACTCACTGTGTCACTCACTGTGTCACTCACTCACTGTGTCACTCACTGTGTCACTCACTCACTGTGTCACTCACTCACTGTGTCACTCACTGTGTCACTCACTGTGTCACTCACTGTCACTCACTGTGTCACTCACTGTGTCACTCACTGTGTCACTCACTCACTGTGTCACTCACTGTGTCACTCACTGTGTCACTCACTGTGTCACTCACTCACTGTGTCACTCACTCACTGTGTCACTCACTGTGTCACTCACTCACTGTGTCACTCACTGTGTCACTCACTCACTGTCACTCACTCACTGTGTCACTCACTCACTGTCACTCACTCACTGTGTCACTCACTCACTGTGTCACTCACTCATTGTGTCACTCACTCTGTCACTCACTCACTGTGTCACTCACTCACTGTGTCACTCACTGTCACTCACTGTGTCACTGTGTCACTCACTGTGTCACTCACTCACTGTGTCACTCACTGTATCACTCACTGTGTCATTCACTGTGTCACTCACTGTGTCACTCACTGTGTCACTCACTCACTGTGTCACTCACTGTGTCACTCACTGTGTCACTCACTCGCTGTGTCACTCACTGTGTCACTCACTGTGTCACTGTGTCACTCACTGTGTCACTCACTGTGTCACTGTGTCACTCACTGTGTCACTCACTCACTGTGTCACTCACTGTGTCACTCACTCAGTGTCACTCACTGTGTTACTCACTCACTGTGTCACTCACTCACTGTGTCACTCACTGTGTCACTCACTGTGTCACTCACTCACTGTGTCACTCACTGTGTCACTGTGTCACTCACTGTGTCACTGTGTCACTCACTGTGTCACTCACTCACTGTGTCACTCACTCACTGTGTCACTCACTGTGTCACTCACTGTGTCACTCACTCACTGTGTCACTCACTGTGTCACTGTGTCACTCACTGTGTCACTCACTCACTGTGTCACTCACTGTGTCACTCACTCAGTGTCACTCACTGTGTTACTCACTCACTGTGTCACTCACTCACTGTGTCACTCACTGTGTCACTCACTGTGTCACTCACTCACTGTGTCACTCACTCACTCACTGTGTCACTCACTGTGTCACTGTGTCACTCACTGTGTCACTCACTCACTCACTCACTGTGTCACTCACTGTGTCACTCACTCACTGTGTCACTCACTGTGTCACTCACTGTGTCACTCACTCACTGTGTCACTCACTCACTGTGTCACTCACTGTGTCAATCACTGTGTCACTCACTGTGTCACTCACTGTCACTCACTGTGTCACTCACTGTGTCACTCACTCACTGTGTCACTCGCTGTGTCACTCACTGTGTCACTCACTGTGTCACTCACTCACTGTGTCACTCACTGTGTCACTCACT